AACGAGTAACGATTAACATACACTAAATATTACCCTGTTTCTCTGGGAACACGACTCCCTCTTCTTTGCAAGTTTTCTACGTTTTTCTCATTTAAATCGATGTAGAAAGTACATGTATACCTTTCAGAACTTACAGAGACTTATGCTCCTTAAAAAGAATTCATCAAATGTATTAATACATTGAACATCACCTAAAATGAAATAAAATAAATATGACCATAAAATAGTCCAGCCTCATTCGGAACGATTTGGTTAATGCAGACGTGTTCTCTTGACCAGATTTGTCAGTATAAGCAATGCACTTTACTTCTCCGCATGAAGAAAATGTCTTTTCCTGAAAGATTACAAACTGCGAGTAGTGTTTTCCGAGCCCCAAGGCGGCAACTTTGGAGGAACGCTCCATAATTAAGAGTGAGGACTGGAGAACAGTCAAGTGTTTACCCTTTTGCAAAGGGGGAGGGGCAGGAAGGCTTTGGAATATGTTACCATGGAGATGTGACGACAAGCTGAACGTTTAGTAATCACATTGATGTATATTATCGTTTAAAAAAGGTAAGGGTTATATCATAACAAGTTTTAGTTTTAATTGTAATAAAGGATATTTGAGAGAGAGAAGGAAGTACAGAAAAGATGGCAGAAAAATATTTCCATTTTTATACACTAGGTAATTAATATTGGAATATTCTTATTTGTGTTGGTCAGTTGTCTCATACTTAAGTTGGGTGTACATGTAGTTTGGTGAATAAATATTTATTCCTCGCAGATGAAAATACATTAACATCATCATTAGTATCATCACAAGAGATTTACAGAACTAATATTAGAAGCTTTGGAACAAAATGCGTTCCATGTATTTGGTGTACATCGATGAGCACAACAACAAGGACAATTTTATAATTTTCACAGGCTTTCCCCATCACCAGGAGGTTGTCTCCAAATATCCGCAACTTTCATCTTTACATATCATTGGCGTTGGCACTTTGTGATATAAAAGAACCTTGTATTGTGTACAACGTGACTTATTTCAATGGTTGGAATCCCGAATCACATAGGCAAGGAAATTCCAACCCCCCCTCCCCCATTTCCGGCAAAGAGAACGTATAGAAGGCTACTTTTGTCCTCGAAACATTTGTATTTGGAATATCTTTTCGGGATTTCCTTTTTTTTTTACTCGTTCCTTCCCCTTTATGTTCCAGCGAGAACTATCGTCGGAAATGTTCGCCCCTACTTCTGAAAATTCCTGATCCGCCTCTGCTCAGAAGATGGTGAACTTCACCTCGGATGAGATATATGTTTTTGATCTTCACCTAAGGTTTTCAAATCATGATGTTTTTTCTTATCGCAATTGTCTCCTCTACTGGTCCCCAGCATGTGATCATGGCTGTTATCAAATATTCATGGTTATCACCATAGTGCTTATCTTACTTAAACTTAAACCTTACTCACTCAATCGAGACTGTACGAATCACATAACAACCGTCCACATCTCATTTCCTTTTCTTCAAATCAAATTATATATATATATATATATATATATATATATCGTCTCTTGTATTGTGCTTTTCAGAGCAAAGCAATGGATTATAGTTCCACATACATAGCGATGATTCTTTTGACGAATAGGGAATGAACCTGAGCAATCTTTTAAAATCACATGCAGTGATTTATGACGGAGTTGAGAAGTAAAATGAGTACGAGATGAGTACTAAACATATTAGTCTAGAGACGTTAAAAATACCCGAAATCCCATATGGTGTTATTGTTTGAGGCCCATAATTACCCTGAGTCTTTATAATCAACCATCAGTATTTGCATGGACAAAATAATAATCTTCTTCTTTTTTTTGTATTCCGAGGATTTGCCCCTACTCTGTCCCTTTACATTAACAGCTTTTCAGGTGAAACAAAATACCGGCTCTAAAACACGCATTTGTAAAAATGTACCATTCATAAAATCACAGTCGTTAAGTTAAACTAAACATATTTTTACATTCTTTTTGTTAGAGAATATTGATATATATAAGTTGCCCGGAAAATTGATTATATAAAAATAGATTTTAATTCAAGGAAGTTAATAATTTAGATAAATCTTTTGTCAAAAATAAACTACGACCTTACTGATACATTATACATATTATAAAATGTCGAAATAGTTGGTAGTTGTAACGACTCCCATTTATCATTGACATTGTCAGATGAGCCAATTATTCATTCCATCTGGTGCAGTTGACGAACGCATTATCTTCTATAATCCTAATGATTCTTAATAACATTATCACGAATGTTATCACAATATAACGTCTACATTGAGTATTTGGGAAATTTGAAACTCAGTCTTCAACAGTGAATAGTAATACGACAAAAAGAGACACATGGTTGATTGTCAATACAGCTTAGAATGGATTACATTTTTCGCAACTTAAAACTATATATGAAGTAACATTTGGTTGAACAATTTTCAGCATTTCATTTCAATCAAATTCAAAATGATAATCATAAATAGATCATTTCGGAATATCTAAGTTAAATTATACTCAATTTACTTTTTTTATAGAAAATAATGAACATTTACAGTTAACATTTATTGACTTTACGTTTGAAAAATATGAATATGACTTAGAAGTGAAAAAAACACAACATTACTGTTAGTTATATTGTTAAATTCTGCCTCCTAGACTAATGAACCAATCGTCGTAATTTTTAACTCACCACATATGTTACTATGTAACTACATATGAAGAAACACTCCTTTTATTCAAAAGTTTAACGATAGGGGCATTTACATGCAAACTTATTTGTGAGATTTAAAATTTGATATTATTATTTTTGTTCTAATCGATATGAAAATCTCGGGTTTTTTATGCTTGTAAATCCAATAATCTCACTAAATAATAAGATTCTGCTGGCCGCGATCTTAATGTCACTATGTTAAACGCTTTCTGGTTGTCACGGAGGCTGTAAATAAATGGTAATCTACACTATTTTAGTATTTTACAAATGAAATAAACAAATTGATTCCTGCATGCCATCACAAGGATCTGCACAAGATGCAAATACACTATGCGCAGTAATGTTACAGCGTTTACCTACTACTTATGGATCCATATCACTTACGATGTGAATAGTGAAACAAAATAATAAACAAATCGATTGATTGCTGATATTTCCGCATCTGCATTCTCTTTATTTACATTTGAGATACTAATGAAAATCATCATGTTTGTCTAATTCAAATGAATGAGAAGAGTATGAACCTGACGCACACAGGCCTAAGGCTGGGTGTGTGTGCGTGTGCGTGCGTGTGGGTGTATGTGTTTGTTTGTTTGTGAGGGTGTGGTTGTGTGTGTGTGTCTTATATTAACAAACCAAATAGAATCGTAGTTAAAGTTTAGACATGATCAGATCATTAAAAATATGCAATTCTCGGCCCAAGTACTTTGTTTATACTTTTACACAAACACATTTGTTTTGGTCAGACAGGCGTCATAGTGACATCATGAGTAAGTAATCATAACTTGTTATGTTTGATTGTAACATCACTTGACTTTCTTCTATATTGTTCTTGAAGCTATTACCAGAAACGCGCGTAATAAATAAATTGGATTATTAGGATCAATTGTTAATGACGAAGGTGACCTAGATTATAATACAGACGATTAGAAATAGATATTCACATAATACAGTCTTTATATAATTTTGTGTGATAACAAAATATATTACCTTTCCGTTGGCGCTCGTAATATTCTCAATACAGATGAACTCATTTTGAGATACTGAATAAAGTGCAGGTGATGACATGTTAGTAAAACGGTATATCAATCAAGCGAAGAGATAGTGCTTATTTTATTTCAGTTGAAGAATAAGTACACCCTGCAACAAGTTGATTCGAACAAAAATCCTGACCAATATAAGTTTTTTAGAAATTAAACTAGAGTAAGAGATTTGTACAGTTTTGCAGTTGTGAAAGTCACAATATTTCGTGACAAAATTGCAATAATTGATGACTGCTTATGTGAACTACTTTCCATATTTTTGTTTACACAAGATTACACGCAGTTTTGCAAACAAAATATTTTCTGTTGTATGCGTGCGTGAAATTAGAGAAAATTTAACCAATTCCTACATGTCCATTTCCTTTAAAAATGGTGTGAAAGTCGATCAATCAAAAGGGAACAATTGAAAAAATATATTTAAAAAATCTGTTTTTAGAAAACAAGTGGGCTTCCAAACACCTTGAATAAAACCGACCCAAAGATGACATGTTTCCATAAAAGAGCGGGAGGGTTTGGTAACGAATAATAATAATTATATTTGCTTATATAGCGCCTAACACTTACTTTATCAGAAGTCTCTAAGCGCTCTACAATAATGCAGCATAATTACCCTGGCTTTAGCAGTGCAGCTGTTACGAATCAGACCTTATGTTATCGCCATCTAACTTAAAGAAATCTGTCAAAATTCAAATAATATGAAAATTCATTTGATTAGCGTTATTCGTTATTCATTGTTATAAGAAGACTGAAAGTGACGGTTTACAAGAAATTAATTAAAACAATTACTAATTTCTGTTTTTCATATTGGGGACAAAACCAACACACACAAATAAATTTAAATTCAAATTCCCTTTTACGGAGCACATGTTTTATTTTGATTTGCACAAAATATTCAAAACAAGTGTGTATTTAACGGACAAATCTTAGCTAACAATTTTCCAAATTGTATGTCGCATGAAGTAAAAGGTAAATGGTGTTGTGTAATATGTATGAACATAATCATATACATCATTATCATCGCATATCGGTATATAGCGGGAATTATCAATCTTTCACGAGAAGAGAGAGAGAGAGGAGGTGGGAGAGAGTAATAGGAAGAATTCGAACTGACGTCACACCACCGTCATACTTCCTTACAAGTATCAACCAATTAGAGTCGAGCATACGAGACAGTGGAGGAGTTAAAAACCAGCTATTAGATGGAATCCGACATTACAAGTGAGCCGGTTGTAAGACGGAGTAGCATCAGTTCGCGACGCACATCAGTTTACGCAGTTCTTACATTTTTATTCTTCTCTTGATTGGCACAGGAACAAAAAGCTCAGCAATTTGAAGTCGAATCCAACAGCAGAGGAAAGACCGAAACCTCGAGAAAAGTGTTTGAACACTCTGGGTGACCCCTTGTAAGACACAGAGAGAGAAAGCGGAGAAAAGAGGACAAAATGTCACCGGATTTCAGATACATTTTTCTCTCGATCTTTTTGGTCGTCCTTGTCTCACATACCACATTTGGTAAGTTTTGTTTTCTGCATTACAATCTTAAATCAAATGTGATATTACTCATTATTTAATTACAAGAAACATTTCGTCAAAGGCCAATTCGATGTGAATGTTGGACGTCTGACTGGGCTGGTGTATTGCTTCGATAAAAATGTGGTCTTCTGGCGTAAGGTCTTAAACTAAACGCATTAAAAGAGAAGCGATTTAATTGAGTCCTATAACTTGCATTCTATACATAAAAACTGATGAAAAATATCAGAATAAAGTTGGATAGATTGCAACTGACAATTTTTAATGGACAATGGCTATCTTAGTTTCGCATACACCGAATATATCGATGCTATTGTGAAGAATGATTGGTTGCTTTGTCAGAATGTTTCTATTACACAATATAACATGCTTTTATGGAACCTGCGTTGTGTATTAACGCGTCCCTCCCTTGTTTATAGACGCAGGATATTTGGTTAAAGTGGTAAGCGATCCGTCTCTGGGATAGGATGTTAAATGGAGGCCTCATGTAGAGGAGAGTGCGAAGTGAGTATGGCGAAGTCTGGGTGTAGTGCATATCCCAATCATTCACACCGGGAGGAAAGAACCGAGGGTTACGCCTCCAGTGGTTTCCCTCTCAGGCACAGTGACGCCAAACATAAGCAATACTAATAATACAAAGAAGAATAAATAATACAAGTAGAATGAAGTACCGCTTCAGGTATGGGCTTTTGATGAGAGAACATATTTTGTAGTAAAGATGAATTAATACTTATAATACAATCTTTATATGAATTTTCAAAATACAGATCAAGTTAACGCAATCTTCTTTCACCTTGCACTTTGTTTCCTCATGTATTTGTATGGAATAACTAGCTTGGGTAAAATGTGAAGTCGTTCTCATGTTCATTATTAAAAAATGAGTCTTCATAACTTGTATTATATCAATGTTATAATCTTAAGAAGGAACATTCAAGTAAAAATATATGTTATGATAACATGTTGCATGCTCTTAAAAGATAAACATATTTGGTATCAGTTGGAGCACATACATAAGGGGATTCGTGGTTTGAGCTTAAAGCAGTTCCGATATCTCAAGGCATTGAATCTAACTTTGGAGTTTTTTCTTGTTGCTTCCAACAAGTCAGTTATACTGATAGTTTTAATCAAGACATGTACAAAATAATGATTTATAAAAAGTACTTTGCACTAAATATAGCGCAGTAGTTATATATGTATTTTGATATGAATTACTATAATTATCATTTTCGTTTCCTCGAAACAAAAAAGTATAAACTGGGAAGGTATACTTTTAAGAATTGACAGGTAAAACCAAACATCGGTGAACATGTTCGTGAAATGCAAATAATACTTGACTTGTGTATAAATGCTCCAGATGGTATTCTAAAAAATATGAATCATAATATTAATTTGTTGACAATTTATAAAAACAGAAGGTTTACCATTATCATGGGTAAAAGGATCCAGATTTCCATGTTTTGTGATTCTAAAGTAGACAAACGATCAAACTTAAACAATGGGTAGAAGTTATTTGCTTTCGTGATTCTAAATGATAAAGTATTATTTCAAAGGAAATAAATTCAAGAAAAGTAGACGCTCTAGTAATAGTGTCTTGGTTTGTAGTAATTAGATTATAGGGATTTATTCAGATGTTTCTAGATATGATTTGTTGTTGTTGTTGGGGGGGGGGGGGGGTTGGGGTAAAGATAAGGATTCTGGAAACGTTTCCAGATCAAATTTTCAAATCGGTTCATCGATTGCATTATAATATATATGAAAAGATGTTTGAACAATTGAACGAATGTAAGGAGAGATTTCGATGGGCCAGCTGAATCAATAAACATTTCATAATTTCTTTTTCTTTTTTTTTATGACGAAGACAGCAAATTCTGTTTCATACCAAATTAATGTCATCTTGAAATGATCATGATTCAATTGATATCGTGGTTACTCTTCATCAAAACTAATAATTGGATGTAAATATGTTCCTGTTAATTTGCGAGTTCTTACATTTAAGTTCGTTACATTAAAAAAAAGTTACTGTTAAGGAACCATGGCAAAGAACGATACCTCATTGAGTGAGAATTCTGCCACCATAAGGCTGATGATACTTCAAGTTGATGATGGCAAGTTTCCTCCCATTTCCTTTTCTAGTCCAATCTTGAGATGACACTCGGGGACTACATTTGAAATTACACTTGACAGAGCTAGACCCTTGGTATAAGTACCCATCTAATCTCTTACTGTAAATGCAAATCCCCCATTCCTTCTGATTGTGTCACTCTGTGCCGACCCTGTAGTATTTACTGTCCCTACTCATAACACTCGTATCAACTCTCTCAGGACCTATAAATCGATACATCACTTCATTCATCCGGCTACAGAAGAGCCCATGTCACGAGAAGATGCAGCTGAAAATAGCCAGTCGCAAGATTTAGTAAATATCGACGAGAAAACAAAAAGGTCATAACTATATTTCAGGAACCTTCTGAGTAGATAGATGTTGGTCGGAAAGCCCGCACGCGAGCCAGGAGTACTTCAATCTCCAGAATTGCAAAATAATTAAATTCTAGGGATAAAATCTGCTGAAGGACTGTGCATGGCAGAACATCAGAATGATGACTGACAGGAGGACACTTATGGTGGAGGAGATGAAAAATGAAATAATTCAAACTGCCAATTATTGACAAATTGAGATGGGACCGTTTGATATTTCCATACTGACATGTCGTTTTTCGTCAGCGCAATTCATCAATTTTCACGCTCAAAAACATATTTCTCAGCTTCTATAAAAAGCCTAGAGAAGTAGTAAGTAATAGAAAGATTCAGAAATGTTTGTTCAAAATCATCAATAAAAACAATCCAAGAATAAAATCGCAATAGCTTTCAATCCTACCAAATTGATAAAATAAATTGTACTAATGTCATTTCATTTTAATCAAGTATCTTAATCATTATTATTTACATTAGCCATGGATGTTAGCCGCTCTCACAAAATGTGATTTAATTGAAGTTTCGCACTATTCTATTCTTGGCTTTCTGGAAAACAGACATATTACAACTCTCGTTTCATTTAATCTATCGACAATAATGGTAAAGGAATAGACAACCAATGTCTACAATTGAAGTTTCCTAGAAAGTCTGCTTTTTTTTCTACGTTTTCGAAAATATATCAAAAATTCTCTAACTATTTACTGATTGACAATAATCGATTTCAAGCCTCTTTTCGTTTATCGCAAATCAACGTGTCTCATTCTTAAGTGCTTTATCATATGCTATTGTAAATATCACCTCTTATATTCGGCAGATTTAGTTTTTTCATTCTGTACATTTCTTGTAGGACAGATATATAAAGAATGGCAAACTGCTTTTCCTTCAAAGTTATCACAATGGTAGACCCAATTGAGGACTTGACATACAAAACTTTTCAATGTCCTTCGCATAAAGTGACGTCATCTAGGCGCCATTTTGTGAATTTCGCATATCTCTTTATATCTCTACAATCAAATGGCATAATAATTTGATATTTCATCTCATGAAACTTCAATTTATTGCGGATCATAACAACATATCAAACACGCACGTCAGCCCGACATCGCGCATAATTAATAAAAAAGGTTAAAATCATTTCATGTTCAACCCAATTTTAAACTTTAGTTTTGTTTTTTTTTTGTGTGCACTCGTGTTTGTCCGTGCACCCGCTTCATAAAAGCTATAAAAAAAAACTCGGGGGTTTCACACAACTTAGGTTCTTGATCCTATTCTTGGTCAGTTTTAACTTATTGCTAGACCCTTTTGACTATTTAATGCCAATAAGTGCACGTAAAAACTCGAAATGCCATCGCGGGAATTTCGCTAAAAATGGCAAAAAATTGTATAATTTAAAAACTAGATATCTTCGAATCAAAGATATTTCAACCTCACAATTAACATCAAATACTCCACTTTTGAAATTTGGTTAGACGTGGTGACGTGGAGCGCAACCGGGATCTGAACCTTCGAATTCGTTACGTCATAAACTCAATTGTCTGTTACTAAAAATGTCTGTTCTCTTTGGAGCTACTTCCGATGAAATAGAGATACTGTGTGCCACTATAACAGGGTTGAACCTTGATTTCTATGGTGGTGAAATCTTTGACATACAACACTGTCAAATTTTTCTCAAAGACCACAATCACACCGGACGAGGTGTATATTTTTCATGCAATGCAGATATGCGACTTTTTATGGAATCAATTAACTTTACCAAATTAAGAAGGCAATTAAGTTCCTTTTTGGTGTATGCTATAGTCCCCATCATAATAATGCTACCTTCGATGATGCACTAAATAATTCCTTGATCTTACCCCCCCCCCCCAACATACTTATACCTCCTTCCTGATCAATTATCTTATGCGGTGATTTCAATATTCAACTCCCAATCTGCGATCATGAATCCTTGTCATCATCATCATCTCTCAATATAAATACTTGAAATATCATTGCCCTCTCACATCATCCATGGGAATGACACATCTTGTTTCATTTCTTACTATACAACAGGCAATGCTTGACCTAGTATTTTGTGATAATTTAGACTTTATTTTAAATCCTCAAAGCAGTTCAGGAATTGGCAACAATGTGTTACAATTTACTTTGTTTTTGACCGTTACGGTAGTCGAATACTTCCAAGGGTATTACATCAATTCACAAAGTCAAAGCGAATAGTCTGAACCTTCAACAAACGATTGAATGTGTTCCAAGGAATCCGATTGTTGATGAAGGGAGCGTTGACAACACATACTTCACACTTGTGTTGCAGACATCGATCAAAGATGTTGTCCCCATGGTCGTCGTCGAGCATTATAGATAACTCAGGAAATAGCTAGAATTTCCAAACGAAAGAGGAGAGCTTACAGGAAATCAAAGAAAAAAGATAGTGATATAGACATAAAGAGAAAAGAAGAAATGTGGTTAAGGTATCGAGAGATCTCGAGAGAAGTAAAAGGTATGACAAAAAAGTC